TAAGAGCATAATCAAAATCAATGGGACTTGTATCCCAGGGCACTTTTGCAGATCCCATCCATAGTCATTAAGCAGGCTTCAGACACGATGATCTATTGTCCATAACTCTTTATCAATGTTTTTCTCTCCTTTTCTCATGTATAGTTTTCTCTCTTTCATACAGTTCCTTTCCTTTCTGTCTCTCCCTTCATGCCTGTCTTGAACTTTCTGGCTTAGTGGATCTTCTATTCTATATTAGTTTGCCTCTTTTTAATAATTGCAAAGCATCTTGGTTAAGATTAATTTTTTTTTTTGGCCCGAGGATGTTTCCTGGCCCTACTGTGCATGATTTTATGGACTCCGTTGCCTTGAATGGAACCAGAAAACTAGTTGTAAAAGGAAGAACAAGGATTCAATTCTGGTGGAAGTTGGGTGGTTGAATAGACAGGCACAAATAGTGGACTGGGGAAATGCAGCAACCCCATGGGGAGCTGTAATTCAAAAGGGCTGTCTCAAGGGGGATGTCACATTGGCGATGGCACCATATTTCTATCACTGTCTTTCATGTCCCAGGCCCTTGGGGTCAGGCTGGGGGATAGGGAGGCAGAGCCAAAACCAAGCCAACTGTACCATTTTGCTAGACTAATTAAACTTCTCTGCACAGGTCTCGCAATGACAAGCATCTCCAACCTACAAAGAGGGAGAGGCACAAAGTGCTGCAGCAAGAGACTGGGGCCCATAAGCAAAGCACCCCAGGCCCCTCAGGGCAGCACCAGCCACTCTCCACAAAGAACCATCTCCCACTGATGCATGTTAAAGGGAATCAGGTGCCAGGACTCTGGAAAGTGGATGCTGAGAGATCTATGGAGCACAGGAGCTGGATCTAGCCAAAATAAATGCTGCCTCTCCCCAAGGGGATTTCCTGCACATGCAAATGCAGGTTCAGGTATTACTCAGCTGGGAAGGAGGGGCATGGTTGAGAGCAGTGGGTCTGGAAGGTAACTTCCCATCTGGTGTGATCTTAGGGGATGGTCTGGAGGAACAAACTAAGATGGCCTGTATTGTTAGAGATGGAATAACATTAGTCCCAAGTGGCCTAGAACAGCCTTGGAGCTCCTCTGGGCTAAGCAGATGGCACCAGCTTATCCTTATTTGTGACCTTAGCAATGGTTAGCATGTGGAACTAGATTTAGACTCTGAGGAGAATCCAGCTGTAAGTACCTAGCAAAATCCGTGGTTACTTCCTTTGTCCTATGGTGGTACTGCAATGGAGTGTCCACCTCACACAAGGCAGAGCAGATTATTAGGACAGTTAACCTGACAGGCTGCACCTGAGGGACAGCCAGGACTGAAAGACTAATTGATGATGAAGCCCAGCTGGGCAGGGGCAGGCTGAGCTTGTATACAGCCAGCAAGCTGAGACCAGAAGGGGGCTGCAGGGAAACAGTCTGCAGTTGTTCTCTGGAAGAAGGGAGGTGTGTTTGGGGCTACACAGTCTGGTGAGAAGTCAGAGGGGGAAATAGCCTCTAGTTACTCCCCGTGAGAAGGAGTAAGGGCTGGTAAACCCAGAGAAGGGGGGCCAGAGACTAAAGCAGGGAAGTAGGAAGGCATCTAGGAAAATAGCAGCAGTGTCTGTGAGCAAGCAGACTGTAGTTGCTAGACATGAGGTCCCTGGAGTAGTGGGTGGGTCTGGGTTCCCCACCAGCTGCTGGAAGAGTAGCAATTGACCTGCCCGTGGACTGGAAGGCTGTCTGGAGCAGCACAACAACAGCTGGTCCAGTGATATTTTGATACTGTAGAAGGGGAGGACTGTACAGTGGCCTGACTGGAAGGCTCAGCCACGAAGAGGAAGAGGGAGTTCTGGGATGGGAGGAGGAGCACGGTGTGAGCAACTGTGGGAAGTGGGGGCATCA